TAATATGAACTGCAATGCATGCTGGGAAACATAGTGACAAGCTGTGTAATGTGCTTCCCTACTGTACTATAAATGCAAGATCCACATGTGCCCACCAGCTTACATCAAACATATATGAAACAGGCATAGCGAGACATTATCCTAAATACTGTGTCATAATATAAGGTATCCTTACATGTGATTTGGACTTGCAAATCATCAGATGCTTTTTTTTTTGAATGTATGCCTCTTCCACACCCTTTAACTCTGTAAATACTCAATGACCCTTTAGTGAGCTGGATAACACTGAACTTGCTATGTTAGAGGTTCAATACAAATAAACAGTAAATAGCAACTTATTAGTAGATCAAGTTATAATTAGAGGGACAGCACTGATTTATACCAGAGCTAAATATTATGATCAGCTAAAGGCTTCATCATAATATCTAACAAGCCTTTAGCTGAGCATGTAACAGTAAATTGTTAAGGTTCGCTATACTGACAATGACAGGACCCCTGTGTTCATGTTTTCGAAATGCAGGAGTAGTTACCTGGGAAGTATAAACAACTTTAGGCCTGGTTCACACCTGGGCATTTTGTAGCGCGTTTGAACGCTCTGCAAAACGCTCAAACACCGAAATCCCATTATTTCCTATGGGTATGGTTCACAACTGGGCGTATTACAGGCCGTATGAACGCGCTACAAAACGCGCTACACCCAAAGAAGTACAGGAGCTTCTTTGGGGCGTTTTTGCCACGCGTTTCCATTGGGATACAGCCAAGTAGCCTTCGGAAAGCGTTACGAACGCCTAGGTGTGAACACAGCCTCAATGCCTCTCAGATCACTTTATCCTGTGTTTAGATGTCCCTGCTTAAGGGCTTGTTCACACGATGTCTGGATTCTGTATCCCTATGTGTTTTATGGGCTCCTCACCAGGGCAGTCCGTTCCGGTCCGGACAGAAAAAATACTGCATTTCACATTTTCTCCGGTCCAGAAACGCACGAACGAACCAAAAACGCAACGAGAGCACGCCAAAAATGCACCACACTGCAGTTAACAGCTGATAGCCCTACTCCACACAAAAAAAGGAACTGGAACGGGCCCGGAACACGGTAAAAACGCGTAAAAAACGCGCTGCACACATAGCACCGCGTCTACAGATCTGCACCAGATCTGGACCAGAAAATGGTGTGAACAAGCCCTCAAGCTGCATTTACATGAGTTTAGCTGCATTTAGAGCCTTTCATTAGATCCTGAACGCACACAATTCTATTTTGTCTACATGCAGTTAAATTAAATGCAGGTAAACTTAAAGTCGCAATTATACCATTGAAAATCAACTACATGCATTTATATGCGTTTAGAAATGTGATCTAAAGGCATATAAATGCAAGGTTGACACTGTCAGTGTGAATGAGGCCTAAGACATTCACTTACTAAGTCAACCACGATGGTTTGCATTGCTGGACATAAACGGGCAGATTTTCGGTCAACAACAACGAAAAAATAATACCTATTTTCTAAATCAGTGGTAGGCAAACCATACCTGAGCTCCATTACAGTACGCAAGTCTTTCCTTCTAAACTGAATTTATTTTTAAGAGAATGAACACAATAACAACTGTGAATTTTTTATCTAATGATTACTTCAGCAAACATTTAGGACTGGAACGGCACATCATTTTTAGCACGCAAAGACACATCTGGTTACGCTGTAGAATTTGTTGATGTCATGCACCTGTTATTGATCAACATATCACAAGTGTGGCTTAGGCCCAATTCACTCTTGTCGTGCGTCAACATAGGTCATCCCGTTCATTTCAATGGGCTGAGTACGTACAACAAGAGCGGCAAAGAAGCTTATGCAGCAGATTGAGTTGCGCATTACGCTTGTTTTTTTCACTGTTCATCTTGCCTGCCGCATTTGGGGTGCCATTAACAAATTCTGCCATCACGAGTGTGGCGTGTCTTTTTGTGAATGTGCATACAATTGCACGATTTCACACATGTTCATGTGCGCAGCAAGTATGAACGCGGCCTTAGATCTCAATAACAGAGATAAATATTTACAATTCATTAGTAAGCAAAAACTAATATTAAAGCAGCTCTAACCCCAATTGCTAAAATCTTATACAAGTTTTAACAATGTTAATGTAAATTCAAAAGTCACTTTCAACATTTCTATTTACGTTTGAATCTATATTTATTGTATAACAGCTATTCCTATTTAAATAAAATGTATACCTGCTGACCTGGCCAAAAAAAGGTCTTGTTACAGGTCGTGTTACAGGGTGACAACGTCCTGTTTCCAAATGGCCTCTCACCCACATTCCCGATGGAGAGTACTACAAGTGGCCGTGCCAATGCACATTGCAGAGGCATGTTTCATTGTTGTCACCCTCAGAAAACCGGCCCTGAGAAACTTCATGCAGAGATCACTGGAGAACATGCATAGAGACAGGAAGAGCCTGACAAGAGGCTGCAGATCAATAGCACTGGCTAAAAAAGGTGAAAACAATATTTTATTTATAAAAATGTATATTGTTTACGATACATAACGCTTTACAAAATGTCATTCAGGACCGAAACACACTTTTCCCGCTGTGGTGCATTAATGTATATTGCATGTATTAGCATGTTGCAGTGGCATTCGATTTGAATGCCTCCCTAACTCACTAACGGAGCTCCAACGCACTGCAGCGTACCACAACTATAACATGCTACCACACTTTGTGTTGCCTAAACTGTCTGTCCGTTTTTTGGGACATTTAGTGCACTACCACACCGACAATCCATAATTGTAATTGGCTGCCTTAATGCAATGCACATTAACACGCAAAACAACACACCAGGGCACCAAGGTCTGAATGGGCCCTTTACATCTACTTTAATGAATTAATGAACCACAAAAATACAGTTTGCTCCAATAAGACCTTTCATTTTAACAGCTATGACGTCCTATGCAATTTTATTTCCTTTTTTCGAGTCCTTTTCCCCATTCCCATAAATGAGAAGTTAACCTTTGTAGTCTGGGTGCAGAACCACTAAAAGGGTGTTTTTTTAAGTGTACGTTGGGTATTTCAGTGTTCTTCAGGGTGCTTTAGTTCTATTCAGCATTTACAGGGTGAAGGGCGTGGAAGAGGCACGTGCGCCAGTAAACTATACCTGCTGAACTTACAAAGATGTGAGATTGTGGATGTGAAAGAAGTCGTCACTCCTTAAATCCGGCAAATAAATTAAACATATATCAGATTAAATATAGTGTGAGAAGTGGGTTTATTGCAATGATCATAAATATGACAGTACACTATATGATATGTAGAGATAGTTAGTATTGGTACTGTCAAAGGAAACCTGTAGAGAAAAAGTATGGAGTCTGCTATTGCTGGCCTCCTTTTGAATATGTCAGTCCCTTTACTGTCATGATGATCCATTGGCTTACTGCAAATGGCACCCCCAATATTCCGTGCACATTGATTTCAACACTTGGGTATTTCAGTGCAGCACAGTACAAAGATGGGTGCCCCTGTGGGTTGTGGTAAACTGCACTGAAAAAAAACAAAACGTTCCTTTTTTTTTTAGTGGGTTGTGGTGCATTGGTAGTCCATTCAAAAAAAAATGGGCTGCCTTAACATGATGCACCTTATCCTTTATGTAGTGAGAGGGGGGTAGTTTGTACAGGTTAGAAACACTGGCATACCAGCTGAAAGCAGCGGCACAGATGTTGAAACACTTAGTTAAAATAGAGATATGTAAGCGGTGGAAAGCACTGGCATACTAGATGGAGGCAGTGGTACAGATGTTGGCACACTTCGTTAAACTAGAGCTATGTAAGAGGTGTAAAGTAATGGCATACCAGATGAAGGCAGTGGTACAGATGTTGGCACACTTCGTTAAAATGGAGATATGAAAGAGGTGGAAAGCAATGACATACTAAATGAGGGGTATGGCACAGATGTTGGCACGCTTAGTTAAAATGGAGCTATGTAAGAGGTGGAAATTACTGGCATACCAGCTGAAAGTAGCGGCACAGATGTTGAAACACTTAGATAAAATGTAGATATGTAAGAGGTGGAAATTACTGGCATACCAGATGAAGGCAGTGGTACACTTTGTTAAATTGGAGCTATGTCAGAGGTGGAAAGTACTGGCATACTAAATGAAGGGTGTGGCACAGATGTTGGCACACTTAAACATGGGAATACATAAGAGGTTGAAAGTACAGGCGTACTATTGCATATTAGATGAAGGCAGCGGTACAGATGTTGCAAGAAGTGGAATGGATTGGTATACCAGATAAAGGCAGTAGTACAGATGCCATCACGCTTCGGTAAAATGGAAATATATAAGAAAAGTACTGGCGTGGCAGAAGAAGGCAGTGGTACAGATGATGGCACACTTAGTTAAACTGGGAATATGTAAGAGGTGGCAAGTAGTGACGTACTATGGCGTACTAGATGAAGGCAGGGTACAGATGTCAGAACACTTGGTAACAATGGAGATGGCATACCAGATAAAAGAAGCAGTACATACTAGGTGCCGTTGGCAATGTGTAGTGTATGGGCAGGCTTTATAACAGTGAAAAAACAGATGTTGGCACACCTAGTAATCATAGAGATGGACAGTAATTATAACCATATGCATCTATTTTATTGTTTCAATATTCTGATTGAAACCAGTGATCGTATTTCACTAGCAGTTCAATTGCTTTTTGCAGGATTGAATTAAAGATAAGAGCAATGAGATGAATAAAAAATTCTGATCATCATCAAATTCCTCCTATAATGTATAGAACTACTGATGATGGCTGGCCTTATGTGCTTACTTTAACTTTTGACATTGGGAAGAGTGATGCAGATACATTTTATTATTTGGGATGCATGCAGCTATGTTTCAGCCATCCGATGGATGACAAGTGATGAGATCTGATGACATGACGAAGCTACAGTAGGTGTGGAGGTGAGCACCAGGGGTGAAGAAAGGATGACAGCAGGCACACAGGTGGACACACAGCTCTCACCTGGTAAATCATAACTTTGAAGTTTCTCCGTCTCAGCAGCTCCGACTCGTTGCTCTCCAGCTTCTTGATTTGGGCTTGCTGCCTCTCCAGGTTGTGTCTCACCGTCTTCACGTTGACGCTCACCTTCCTCACCTTCTCCAGGAGTTTCACGGCCGTGTTGCTGGTGGTGGCATGGGACTTGGTCAACTTGGTCAGTTCCCCTTGAATGCTGGTCACCGCGTTATCCATCTCCTGCTGCCTGGCCTCCAGCTGATTCTGGGTCAGCTGGATCTGGTCCACGGCTCCGATGATCTTGTCCAGCAGGCTCAGGACCAGCACGCCATTGATCTGATCGGCTTTGATGGGCTCGCTGTCTGAAGCCTCCCCTGGAGGGGTGTCAGGGATGACGGTGGGCTGCTCGACTATCTGCAGGCTTGTATCCGCCATCTTCTCAGCTGTCTTTTAAATTGGCCAAGTTTGGAAAACTTTAATAAGAGATATGAGAAGGGAGCCAGCCGGGTGGGATGCAGAAAGTTTGATGGCACCGATCGGCCGGACGGAAAGATACAGAATGGGAGCTTGTGTGTCGGAGAGCAGAGCTCCGCATAACTGTACTGGGAGGAGGGGGCTCGCTGGACTCCCTCTGTCCCTGTCATTGGGCGGCGCCACCCACAAAATATCGGAGAAGCCCCTCCCTCTCCTCTCCTCAGATGATTAAAATAGTTATAAGGGAGGTGACTGATCTGGTTGCATGCAAGCACAGGCTGAGGAATGTACCAGCAGAGCACACTCTGCTTACCATCTGATGCACATTACTAGAGCTCATTCAAAGCCTATCTCCAGTTACCAAAAACTGTACTACTGTTACAGTAGGCTTACCCCGGCACTGCACATGTTAAATGCTGGTTTTGTGTAGGGGACCTGTGTAAAGCAGTTTTATTTTTCTTGGAAAAATATACTTTATTTTATACAAAATATATAAAAAACAAATTGCTTTTTTTTGGTGGGGAGTAGAATTAACCCTGCACTGCAGCGCCGCATAGCAATACAGTACATTCACACCAATAACTTACATTCACCCAGCGACATGACGTGTAGCTTAACCCCTTGGTGACAGCTGCAGAAAATAGTTTTAGTTATCGGGGACCGGAGCAATTTTGCTATTTTTGCTACGTCTTTGTTTAACCCAAATTTCAATCTTCCTCGTTCATTGCACCTACACATTATATACTATTTTTTAAAGGAGAACTATGGGGTGAGTGATTTTCACTCAACCTCATAATTCGAGCCGACGTGTGACAATGAAACTGTCACACGTCGGCTCAATAGATCGGGAAGTGAGAGAACACATACCGTCACTCGATCACTTCTCCATCATGCCCCTGCAGGGAGCCGTGACTGTCACTCACGGCTCCCTGCAAGGATTCTCCCCCTCCCCGCTCCGATCACCAGCACTGACTGGCAGAACAGACGGGGGAGGGGGCAGGTACAGCTGGTTCTGCCTCTAGATAGGCAGAGCCAGCTGTCAATCACGCAGCTGGGCGGATCCAGACATAAATATCCGGATCCGTTTCAGCTGCGGCGTCTCAGTATACCGCGAGCAGTAGCTCGCGGTACACTGAGCTTAGGGTGACAGGAGGATGCTAGCTTCCTGTCAGCTCCATGGCAGCACACAAATGGGTTAATCCCTCCCTCCTCCCCCTAATCAGGATCGTAACTCATAAAAGCTGAAAGAGTCCCCTGGCTTGCCGTTCCTTTTTTTTCCTCCTACATGTCAGGATCAGAGCAGTGTGCCTACCTAGCAGGGATAGAGTTCTTGCTGTCCGCCTTCTTCTTCTACCTCCTTGAGTTGGCGAAGTCCCTGTGAGCCCTTTCCTAAATGGTGCAGGTCCATGGGAGCCCCGCTGGCGATCCTCGGGGCCTGGCTAACAAAGTGTAAGTACACTGCTGTTGCTCATTATGGGTGGAGGAGATATTCCTACTTGGTCTGGGTGCCTAAAGGTGCCCATACACCTTACAGTTATCTGGAGAATGTTTGTCTTTCAGCAGAAAACGTTTGTCTATTTAGATCAAAATTGACAGGTTAATGGCCTGGTTGTACAATAAAAATCTCTTGATGCAAACTGCACATGCTCAAACGAAAGTTTGACCTTTTGATCAATGTAAATCAGCTAGATGGTGATGCTGACAAGCGTTGTTTGTGAACTACATTGGTCTGTGCATGATGGGTTCGTTGTAAGAAAATTGTGAGATGTCTGCACAACAAAAGTTGTACAATGGCTGTAAGTTGTATGGCCACCTTTACATATGTGATTCTGTGGTGCTGCTAATGCCTAAGCTGACTCTTGCAGGTATTTACCTGAAACACCCATTAGCTTCGGGAAGTGAGAGAACACATACCGTCACTCGATCACTTCTCCATCATGCCCCTGCAGGGAGCCGTGACTGTCACTCACGGCTCCCTGCAAGGATTCTCCCCCTCCCCGCTCCGATCACCAGCACTGACTGGCAGAACAGACGGGGGAGGGGGCAGGTACAGCTGGTTCTGCCTCTAGATAGGCAGAGCCAGCTGTCAATCACGCAGCTGGGCGGATCCAGACATAAATATCCGGATCCGTTTCAGCTGCGGCGTCTCAGTATACCGCGAGCAGTAGCTCGCGGTACACTGAGCTTAGGGTGACAGGAGGATGCTAGCTTCCTGTCAGCTCCATGGCAGCACACAAATGGGTTAATCCCTCCCTCCTCCCCCTAATCAGGATCGTAACTCATAAAAGCTGAAAGAGTCCCCTGGCTTGCCGTTCCTTTTTTTTCCTCCTACATGTCAGGATCAGAGCAGTGTGCCTACCTAGCAGGGATAGAGTTCTTGCTGTCCGCCTTCTTCTTCTACCTCCTTGAGTTGGCGAAGTCCCTGTGAGCCCTTTCCTAAATGGTGCAGGTCCATGGGAGCCCCGCTGGCGATCCTCGGGGCCTGGCTAACAAAGTGTAAGTACACTGCTGTTGCTCATTATGGGTGGAGGAGATATTCCTACTTGGTCTGGGTGCCTAAAGGTGCCCATACACCTTACAGTTATCTGGAGAATGTTTGTCTTTCAGCAGAAAACGTTTGTCTATTTAGATCAAAATTGACAGGTTAATGGCCTGGTTGTACAATAAAAATCTCTTGATGCAAACTGCACATGCTCAAACGAAAGTTTGACCTTTTGATCAATGTAAATCAGCTAGATGGTGATGCTGACAAGCGTTGTTTGTGAACTACATTGGTCTGTGCATGATGGGTTCGTTGTAAGAAAATTGTGAGATGTCTGCACAACAAAAGTTGTACAATGGCTGTAAGTTGTATGGCCACCTTTACATATGTGATTCTGTGGTGCTGCTAATGCCTAAGCTGACTCTTGCAGGTATTTACCTGAAACACCCATTAGCTTGCTTTCAGGTGCTTTAACCCCGCAGGTGCTTGCTGACTGCAGGCTGCTGCGACTTGTAGCTCTGATACTAAATCTTTTAACTGGATCTAAAGGTGGCCATACACTGTACAACCATCACAAGACCATAGTCTTGTGATGGTTGTAAAGTGATTAAAAAAACGTACGATCTGCCCATCTTGGACAGGCAGATCGTACTCTCGATCATCGCAAGCCCGCCCCCCTGAGGGGCGGGCTTCCGATGACCGCAATGCTGAACGGGCAGTGTGCGCGTGCGCACACCGGCCCGTTCAGCATTTGTCTCCCGAGCACCGTTCTAACCAGCCGAAAATCGTACGATTTTCGGCTGGTTTTCTAGCGTGCTCCTTAGACAAAATTTGGTGCAGTGACGCATGGGGGTTCTCAGCTGCCATTGGGATGTGCGGGATCCCTTGTGTGTTCCTGTGCCTTTAAGGAGGTTTGGCTTCCTCCTGACAAACCAATTTGAAATATTCTGCCCCCATGTGCTCCAAGATGGAGACTCTCATAGTTTAGAGTTAGGACCGCACTAAAAGGTGCCTTGGCGCGGCTGTGCGGCTTTCACATTTTCTGCAGAAGACCTGTATCCAAACCTCTGTTATTAACCTTAGTGGTGAGACAAGTTGTTTTACATGCTGGTTTGTGAGTGTGCCATGATGCCTTTCTGCTGTTCTACTGTTCAAAGCCCATTTCGTGTGCACCTTACTGTATAGCTGGTGACAAATTTGTTGAGTGCGTTTGTCATTTGTTTTGCTCCTTAGACAAAAGACGTGCGACCGTACAGTAGAAACGGTCGCACGTCTTCGTTCACACTGCTTGATTCTCGTACGATCGTGGGATTTCCCGCGATTCTCGTACGAGAATCGAGCAGTGTATGGGCACCTTTACAGAAAGGTGTTTGCTAACTCTGTCAGCTTCATCTTGTGCCCTAACTCTTGGGTGCCTTTCTTGTGAGTATTTTGCTGTCACCTGTGATTCCCCAACGTTGGTAATGTTTAAAATGTAACTTATGGAGTTGTTGCTTCATTGCAGGCCTATTCTGCCTGTTATTCAGTATTCTTCTCGTGTATTTCTATGCATTGTGTTAGTGACAAGAGCCCGTTGTGCCATAACCTGTGTGGAGCCGGTGTTTGTGGCTCCTTGATGTGCTGTCTGTGCTCCCAACGATGGTGTTGAAATGCACGCTGTGCGTTCCACTGATGTCATTTCTGCTGCCGGGGAGCTTCCGGCCTCTCCATTGTAAGACTTGCGGCAGCAGGTTGAACTCATGCTATGCGTTCCACCCAGGGGAGAGTGGAACGCAGGCTATGCGTTCCAGTGCAGACAAGTATTCCTTTAGAGATAGATTCTCTAAGCTGTATCCTTAGGATCTTAAACACTCAGATGAATCGCCTGTGGTTAATGCGGCCTTAATGAGGCTGGCAAGGCATGTCACGCTGCCCCTTGGTGACGCTGTTACCCTTAAGGATGTCTTGAACAGATGGGCAGATTTGGATCTTAAAAAGATCTATCCCTTGGCTGGTGGGGCCTGCAAACCTGCAGTTGCTATGGCAGTACCTTCCAAGGCCCTGGAGGCTTGGGGGGACAGCACTGAAGCAGCGGAGACTTCTCACATTGGGTTGCTCAGATAGGGTAGTCGATACTCTTCTTCATTCTAGGAAGCCCAGTACTACTCGTCCTCACATTAAACGCTGCCTTTCTAGTTGCTACCACCTCCCAGTTCCCATGCTGAGGTTCATTCCCAAGGTTGTGACTGACTTTCACATACACCAAGAAAGTGTATTACCAACCTTCAAGTCAGATGATGGAAGCCAGATTAACCGCTTGAACGTAGGTAATACGCTAAAAGCTTATATTTTGTCCACAGAAGGGCTCAGGTCTACGGGTTATCTCTATCGTTCCGGCAGGTGCCAGCAAGGATGCTACAGCATCCAGTAGGCTCACAGCATCCTGGATAGGGAATGCGCTATTGTTAGCATATGAGGCCGTACAGGAAAACAGGAAAATTGTATTTCATACTTACCGTAATTTTCCTTTCCTGTCCAGCTTCATGGCAGCACAAGGCCCACCCGTATAGTAGTCGAGTT